GATGTACAAATCGACATGCAAAGGAATGAAACAAGGCCAAATCTAAATGACAATCTTGCTCGTCATTACCTAAGCGGTGTAGCAGTCAAATAATTGATAATGAAATAATTTGTGTACTATACTTTAAAACATATCAGATCATATAGGAAAGGGCCAACAATTCATGGCCATAAGTTGTGAAGTGTAATTATGTGACACACATAACAAATTGCTTTATGTATGTCTGAATGAGGTATATTACTGGAGCATGGAGCCAAATCTGAAGCTTCATTATTTGAGTGTATTATTTCGCTTCAGGTAGGTAAAAAATAAGATAATCATGATCAATCTAAATCATTTTGTGAGACCTAGCTGATGCTGGACTGTAACAATTTAATATTATTGTTTGAGCATGATCTAACCTGAATTTGGTTGTAATTTGTTGTAGAAAGCAGGTCCTTTTGCGGTAGTCAATGACAACGATCGATCGCCTCACCCAAAGTATCATCTAGATAAACTATAGTAGAGGACGTACAAATCAGCCTGCAAAAGCATGAAACAAGGCTAAATACAAACAACGATCTCGCTTGTCAATACTTAAGGAATATAGCAGTCTAGCAATCAATATCGAAATTATACGTGCATTGCACTTCGAAACTTATCATTTCATATGGGAGAATGTCAACAGTTTATCAGATCATATAAACTATGAACTTTTTATATAGATTCATAGTTTAAACCAACATGGCTGTGGATAGTCATTGTTGGCACCATAGTGAACCATCGAAACGGTCCAATTGGAATAGACCGCTTCTCAAGAAGATGGAAGCTAATTGCTTGATGATCCAATTTTTCATTCACAGCAGCATCATGTAAGCAAGTGTTTTTATTGCAGATTTAGTTAATTTGGAGGAACAACAAAATAAGCTAATAATCTGAGCATCTAAAAAAATCTCCAAGCAAGGTTTCTACAGGACCTGCAGTAATGACAATAGCTTAATCTATATTGGCCTTGCCATTGTAAAGGAACAACCAATCTTCAAATGAACTGCAACCAATCCATCGGTAGTTGTGAGTTTTAAACATTTGGTACTAAACGGAATGCACTATTGCTAGCTAAAAAGATATGCTGATTATATATGAATTCGAATAGCATTTGCAGGTAGGGAAAATATACCAGACTAAAGCGTGGCAAGGCAACAGGTAGTGCCTTTGACTTTGTCCGCAGTGCCAATCCTGCAAAAAGATTTGTTACGAACTCACTCCAAAACTATGAATCTTGACTCTCTAAGAAAAACTCTGTGCACCGCAAAACTGTACAAACGGCAAAGCACTATTCTCAATATTGAACATGTATGAAATCAAACTTGAACCCACCAAAATAAATACGAATCACAGATGAAACCATGAACTAACCAAATTGAGACAATATGATAGGAATGAACCTGAAAATATGTGCTGAATCTTTTTTACCTGTGCTGCCCAGGCACTTGATGAACCTAAAAATATGGACAGGATGACATTGACCTTCATTAACATAATGAACTGATGTGTCTGAAAAGAACTATAGAAATAATGTTTGTGGTCCAATAATAAAAAACAGTAACATGGAGACAATCGTAGATAAGAGTCCCAACTTTTTTAAGCAAATGTAATGAACTAAATAGCTGATCGATTGGAGTTGAACCTCTTTTTTGTGTACAGGACCAGTAATTATTGGAATTGCCTGGACTTGAAATTGGTTCTCATTCTCATAATGTGAAATGTACTTAGACTCAAATATTTTAGAATTGTAGATGGTACCATATATTCGAACTTCAAAGAACCACTATATATACATATACCTTGTTTGAGCAGAGTAACTAAAATGTAAAAAAGAGCTTATAGTCTGAGTTAGATGAAGCGTACCCTGGAAAACAAAGGAAGGAATATACACCTCTTTAACACTGGAAAACAAAGGAAGGAAAATACACCTCTTTAAGGAGCCTAGCTAAAATCTAAAAGAAATGTGAGCCTAGTTGAAATCTGAAGGAACTATATAGAAATAATAACATTGTGTAACACGTAACCAGAAATAGCATTGTGAAAAAAGGAAAAGAAAACAAATAACAACAGGAGTCGGCATGCAAGAAAGATACCGCACATAAAGTATTCATATTGTGCCTACACGGCACATCACAATTTATCTACATGTGAGCTGCATAGACAATAATAAATAGGCACAATAAGTTAAATTGTTAAGTAAACAAACATACCTCTCAAATAGTGGAGGAATCACGAATCCAACCTGAATAAAATAGTTTGAAATAGTAATCGAATCATGAATCCAACCTACATGAATCCAACCTACATAAAACAGGTAGTCAACCTAAACAAATAGTACACAAAAATGGCTGCTAGGGATTCATCGAACAAAACACACCGCATCCATCCAATCAAAGATCCCATAGCCGAAAACATTTAGGGTGATGTGGATGTGTGTTTCTGCAAGGATCTCTACGGTAAAGAGAGACAATGTATCCTCACCTAGTTCGCGTCGCAGGCCTCCCATGTAAAAAAGTAGCACAACTCAACTATACAAATTAACAAATCAAGACATACCTAGGGTTTCCTGTAGCACAACAAGACACGCGGAGGAGAGGGAGGAGGCGGCGGCGCTAGGAAGCAGCGACGCCGGCGGGATGGAGATGGGAGAGGCGCCACCAGGAAGCAGCTACGCAGGCGGGATGGAGGTGGGAGAGGCGCCGCCCCGCTCGCGTGTAGCGGTGGCCGTTGGCGTGACCGCGGCGGGAGAGGCAGCGAGCAAAGAGACAGGGAGAGAGGAGGAGGACGGCACGACGTGGGAGAAGGGAGGAAGAGGACGGCGTGGGTGGAGAGGAGGAGGCCGCTGCCGCCGCCACCGCCCTGCGCTGTCGGCACCGTCGCCCGTGACCGCGTCCGTGGAGAGGGAGAAACGGACCGTGAGACTGAGAGAGAGGAAGAGTAAAGAATAATCTGGATAGAGAAGTAGAAGCCGTGTATATATTCGTTTCACTGGATTTGGATCAGAAGTTAAAGAAGCGGAAGAGAAGTCGAAGATAAGGTGAGAAGCAGGACGAAACCGCTTCAATAAATCTAGACCGTCCAATCGAAAATCCAATGCCAAAAATATTTCGGGCAACGTGAACGGTGCTTCCGCTCGAGGAGCAGGCCACCCTCGTCTGGGCAAATATGCCGTATATCACGAGAAGTTTGTTCCGCGTACGGCTAGATACCAACAAACCTTTTGCGATTTTCAATTCAACTGTATTAAAAACAGAGAGAGCATCCGCTGTGCAGAAATATTGGAATTTGGATACATTTTTGCGGGAAAGAATTGATTGAGTTCGTATCCGACCGGAAGTCCATATCAGCAGCAGGCGAGAAACCTCCCAAAGAAACTACAAGTATACATATTTTTCGCTACACTTTCCATTACGCGACTGGTTACGACGGCGACGAAGACGAACCATGGCCAGCCTCGTGAGCCAAGTGTCGAGCGCCGTGGCCGCCTGCGCGCGCCGCCTCACGCGCCGGCTCCTCCGCGCGCGAGGGCTCCAGCGGGGCGGCAGCAGTGTCTGCCTCGGAAGGCAGCTCGTGCTAGCTGACGGTGGCGGCAACGACGACGACGCTGGCGCCGGCGATCGTCGCGAGGAGGATGGCCAAGGACAAGGTGCCCTGTGGCGCCGGGCGATCCTGATGGGGCAGCGCTGCGAGCCACTCGACTTTCCCGGCGCCATCCACTACGACAGCTTCGGCCGGCGGGTCCAGTCGCCCCGCTGCGGCAGCCGCAGGAAGGCGGCGGGCGCGCTGTTCTGCCGCTCGTCGGACGCCGTCGACGACGCCGTCACTGCAGCCTCAGCCATGGAAGCATACTACGCCTACCTGGCTACTGATCAACACTGATGATTGTGTTTCTAGGATACCATTGCCATGCATGTGTTTCCATGGCTGCGTTGCGTTTCTTGACCGGCCCATTGTTGGCGTGCATGTGTTGCTTGTGTACTCCTTCAACCTTTTTTCTGCAATGCAGACACTTATCATGCTAATTCATTTTTAGGAAAGAAATAAAAAATGGCATGCTAAATCATAAGTCAGATTTATAATTGATAGAGTAACTGCTTATAAGGTTCAAAAAGTTTGACAAGCCAAACCAGAGAACCAGTTAAAAAAAAACGTTTTGAGAAATCGAACAGGAGAGAACCAGTTCGTCCGGGGCCTTGTTTAGATCTCATCAAAACTCCAAGTTTTTTCACTCTTCCTCCATCATATCAATTTTTAGATACATACATGGAGTATTAAATATAGATAAAAAAATAATTAATTGCATAGTTTAGTTGTAAGTTACTGAGATAAATCTTTTGAGCCTGGTTAATCCATGATCCGATAAAGTTTGTCAAATAAAAACGAAACGTGCTACAGTGTCCGGATTGCAAAAATTTGCAATCTAAGGCCCGGGTACGAAAGGCTATTTCTTCACTCAAGAAGGGACGAATTAATGCAAGCCTTAACATTCAGAGTTTTATTCAACAATAAAAGGACACCGTAAATGCTCCGACAGGACAATGTCATGTTTTTTCAGAAATTGTTGCGCGAACGTACAAATTCGGCACTGATAACGTACTGGCTGATGGCCAAAAATTCAGAACATGTTTCTGATGCCAGTTCTGCAATTTCTTGACTGATGCAGTCTGAACTCAGTGTTCTAGCAAGGCAACATTTTTGTACAAGATCTAGTGACATTCTAATCGCATTGATGCATGCTATCAACAATACGTCCTACATTTAACCGCTTCCGTCGAGCTGCCCATGGGAGAGGAGGTGTGCCAGATATTGCTGAAACAAAAACACAGAGAAAGCATACATCAAACTTGCATATCAGGCAGCAAGAATATATATCGAAAACAGACATGAAATTGGGTGTTTCCTTCTGACAAAATATGAACTTCTGAGCGGTAAGCATGTGTAGCTAGCAGTGAATGATAGACAAGCGTGTAATGTCCTTACAGCATGGTAGGCGTATGGTGGTTTCCTTGCCGGTCAAAATGCTTCGCCATGATGGAGAACTCTATTGGGCCCCATTCATCTATTTCAAAACAATTGCCTAATGCAGCCTTGTAAAGCTGCAAACCACCAAATGAAGTTGGCACAGCAAATAAACAAATAGCAATTTTTTTTTTTTGAGGGAACAAATAGCAGTTTTAAATATGCATATCACTGACAATAACAAAAGCTCCTCCACATGCATTTATATAAAAGAAATGTATATTCAGTTTCCACACCTTTGCAGTGTCAGTTAGTAGCTCAGTACCAGCTGGGTAGGAGGCATAATACTGGTCAGCCCTTGAGATCCCAGCCCTTGTCCTGCAAAAAGCTCAAGCGAAGAGTATTGGCAGGTGAGAACATGAACAACTGAACAAGTAATGAAGTTATGGACCTGTAATAAAAGAGATAATTTTGGTTCAGTGGCGGCGTCGTATTTATTGCTTGCTTGTGTAAGCATAAGTAATGAGGGCAGTGAAGCAGTAGAATCCAGCATATGACACCATTCATGAAACTTCTGGATCTTCAAAACCTCCTTACACTGATAGAGGATATCCATCTCACTACAGCTGAATGCTGGTTTTAGGGGGAAAGGAACATCAGTTAGACACAAGCTTAGCGCTACAGAATAGCCAGGTGACAAGAAACCACATGTAGTATAATAGTATATGAAATCATTCCAAGAAATCAGAAGATCTGTATCTTAAACTATTGCACTGAATCCCAAGGTCACCCCGAACTCCCAATAACATGAAATCAAACTGATCAAAATGCAAAACATTTGCACCCCAGAAAGCTTGGCCAGTAAAAATTTGAGCATAGTTTCTTGAAAAGGTCACATAATACGAAACAGGCATGCGAAGAAAGCAAAGGAACACATACCCAAGAGAATGGATACTTATAGGGTGCGCAAATGGTGACGATTTTACAAGTTTCATTATCCTACATGTCACATTCGATTTCAATAAGAATTTTTCTACAAAACCAATGGCAGCATGCACATTCAACTGATGACAAGCTCCAGCGAAGCTCTTTCAAACTAAATCAACCTGCAGAACCTCTACAAGGATGGTATTCCATTTTTTTTTTTTAAACAATGCATATTCTCTTAACACCAACAACAAAGATTTTTATCAAATAACCAATGTACTAAATGATGCATCCCACATCAAATACAAATTGTGCTGTCTTAGCCATATATCTGAGAGATCACGGCTGGCCCTCAATCACTATATATTCAGTATACTCACCGGACTAAGCGCAGTGTCATTTTGATTGAACACATTGGGTGATCCAGATCGAATATCCAGCAGAGAAAGAAGCACAGAATGCATCGGAACAAATGGTAAAAAACCGCAAGCACACTTGTCTGGGGAATTTCAACAAACACCTCCCATGCATGCCTACTGATCGCCCCTGCAGTTAGCAATTCTTCTTTCCTCTAAGAACTCTAGAACTGCAACCATGTGCCGGTGTAAGGCTATACAAGTCGACGAGGATTCCACACCGCAGAAGGATTTAATTTTAAGCAACGCTTTGGCTTTGTGCATCTAGCTCAGAAGTCAAAAACTCGAGCGCAGGACAAGGAAATAAGGAAAAGGAGGATGGGCATGCACGAAAACAGCATAAACCTCCACCACGGGACGTCGTCTCCTCACGAGGACAGGCTCAGGTTCCAAAGGTTCTGCCGCCGGCCGTCGGTTTTGCGCAGTGGCAGACCCAGGATTTGAAACAAGGGTAGTCCTAGTCAAAAATTTTATATGCAATACTGTAAAGTCTAGAAAAAAGTTCGGTATACATAACTACAAATCCACAATCCCTAAGCCCAATTTAGTGAATTTACAGTCCAATCTCCATTTAAGCCCAAAATTTTTATAATTTGTGGATGAATGGTATCTATTTTCAGTGGGTGAATTGATTAGAAAAGTCCTCATCTCACATTATTTTTTTGTTGTCAGACATGCCCTGCAACATACGTTCTATCCGTATATCTGTATGTAAAGAGATCAGTAATGTTAATGATCTTCTTGGACACTAAAAAAACGGATAAAGACCAACATGTTAATAGCTTGAGTTTCTAATTAGAGAAATAAAGACCAACATGTTCAGAAGTCAGAAGCACAAGCACTCACCAAGGAGCAGGGGCCAGGTCAGGGCAGCGCACGGCGCACGGCTGACTGGGTGGCCGCCAGCTGAACCGGCCAGCTGCTTGTCGCACCCGGCTCCGGCGGACTGGCGGAGCGCGGCCACGCCCCACACAGGGCTGTGGGGCGGCGAGGGTGCCGGCGTGCTGCTCGGCGAGGCCGCGATGGCGCGACCACGGCACCAAGAGGGGCGGCGGTGGTGCGGCGGGCGGGCGGATAACGGCGGGAGGGGCCGCGCCGCCGCGGGGAATCGACCGATGGCGGCGGTCTCCAGTCGCACGCGGAGTCGCGAGCTCGCGCTGAAGGGGACGGGGCAGGCCGGCAGAGCAGGATGCCGTGAATGGCTGAATGCTGGGCGTCTCACCATCTGGGCCAAAATTCTATTGGGCTGCATAGTACTAAACTTTGTTAGGCCAAATTTCCATGTAGTCCTGGACCTACCTGGACTAGCCGCTGGGACCGCCACTGGTTTCGCGAGCGCCGACGAGTTCACCACGCAATAAATGGCACTGGGCTATCGGTCCCTTTTTTCATGAGAACCGGCTATCGGTCCAGTTAGTGTGAAATGGGCTCGGTGCAGGCCTGTTTTACAGGTGGATTGAGGAGTTAAGTGACGTGGAGCCGTGGAGGGAAAAAGTCTTATTTTCATCCTAATGAAACTATATTTTTCTCTTCCCTCAGAAACAACATGCCAACTAAACAAAATTACTGATGTTTTTTTTGAAAGGTGGCAAAAGATTTTGCCGTATTTTTATTAGACGGGAAAAAAGAAAAAAAAACAGAAACAAAACATAATTACAAGAGAAAAATTACTGATGTGTCATGCTAGTTTTAAATGAGGTAAAAAACCCCACTAAGGATGTCCACAGTAGTCTGGCAAAACATGGATGCGTGATGGAATAAAAAAATAGTACTACCAAGGTGTACATGATCGGAAGGAAAAAGATATCCGAGAGATGTTATCAAAGCTGTGTGACTATTTACCCGTCACTAGCGACTTCGTTTTTTATATTCTCTCTCTTCTCCGTGTATAAAAAATGATTTTAGCTAGTCATTGGATAGCTACCGATTTAACTTAACACAATAGAAAAGAGGCTATCAAAGTCAAAACTCCCACCGAAACTAGCCTTTGAGCGTTGACATAACCAAATAGCGCTAGCAATATTTGAGATAGTACTTAAAAAATAATAACAAATTGAGATGCTATCTGAAGGCACTTATACGGGTATATAGTATACATCATTTTGAGTACCAATTTAATGGATATGAGATCCCTTCCCAGTATAAATATGTTGCAGCTAGCATTGTGTTTGCTGGCTCGTGTTTTTGGCAGGCCTTTTTTTTTTAGGATATCCTTTTTTTTATCTTTTATGCAGGCCTTTTATCTTTTGTGCAGGCCTTTATCAGGATCTATCTGCTATTCTATCTAGAACATTATGAAGTATGAACTTATTAAATATACTGGTCATTTATATAATGTCAAGATTTTGGATTCTCACTTTCCTGGGGTTATATATCGAAAAATAAGATAACAACGATATACAAATTTCCAATCGCCTGTCCCGATCGATCATCTCTGCCTCGTCTGCTGCAGCCTCACCCTGCAGCAGCCTACAGCGGGGCGAGTTCCCACACCACCACCGTCCACCGCACGCGCCGCCGTCCATGCCGAGTCTCCTCAGCAAGGTGTCCAGCGCCGCGGCCGCCTGCGCACGCCGCGTCTCGCGCGCGACGCGCCGCCTCCCGCGCACGGCGCGCCGCCTCCTCCAACGCGCACGGCGGCCGCGCCGGGACTTCAGCCAGCTCGTGCCGACCGACGATCACCAGGAGGAGGAGGCCAACGACGCCGACGAGGAGGGCGGCGGGGAAGAAGAAGGCGAACTGTGGCGCCGGACCGTTCTGATGGGGGAGCGGTGCAAGCCGCTCGACTTCCCAGGCGCCATCCACTACGACAGCTCCGGCCGGCTGCTCCCGGCGGCGCCCTCGCCCCGCAGCACCGGCAAGCAGGCGGCGGGAGCGCTGCTGTGCCGCTCGGCGTGCGACGTCGACGAGGCCGCGACGGCGCGCAGCAAGGCTAGGCTGGCTAAGGCTAAGCACGTGTAGCCGCCGGCCCGCCGCTCCCGATCGGCGCAATGGCTGCCATCTCTCCGTGCTCGTTCGATTCCCAAATGGAGTTGTGATGGTTGCTTGCGTTTTCTGAACTTAACGATTGATGTTTTGTTTGGATTTGCACTACATCGCTCAGTAAAAACTAAAATGTATAAGGAAATCACCTGAATTTACCCAATGAATGAATGAATGAATTTAGAGCGAGTTTGCGGTCTCTCGTTGTTTGTTGGAAAAATAATTTGGTGTGCGATAAATTAATATACCACTAATCATATTTGTTCTGCAGCTTGACAACGAATGTTTTGCTTCTTTTCTTTTCCATCAAAAAAATAGTTTTGTTTCTTATAACTAGTAAATTGGAAAAAGGAAACTAGTTCACCAAAAAACAGATATTTACATCAGCAATCTCAACATAAGAGATTATATCTACAAATCCACAATTCCACCTCGTGATCAAGTATGCGTGTAGTTTCTTGCCTGCCTGCACATTTTGGTTGGGCCCTTAAGCCAAACCCAGGCATGGCAAATCCAACGTTTGGGATTAATGTCTGGATCAAATAGCCGTGGTCAAAAACCCACGCATCTGAACTCGTCCCCAGGCAAACTCGCAGGCATGAATGCCAAGAAACAGCGCCTTCCTAATCTACACGTTGGCTGCTCATCAATTTGTTAGCACTCCGAAGTCCGAACACTCTGAGCATCTTGCTGCAGTTCAAAGATCATACTCCCAGCCGCCAGCTACGTTAAAGATTCAGGATACAACTCAGAAATCACACCAGTGTGTACCATTCCTTTATAGGAGTAGTAGAACAGCTCACGAACTAATGTAACATGCACCGACTACCAAAGATATATGCAAATACTACTGGATTAGTGATTACCAACGGCAGATAGGGAAAAATCAATGATTCAACTGAAGAAAAATTGATTGAACTGGGAGTACCATGGCCTTCTTTTTCCAAAGCAATCAGCACACGGACTGGTGCATTGGTCTAAAATACAGAATCCATCTGTGTTCTCAATTCTGACATCATTTGACGAGCCACCCAAGCCCAACATGTCAGCAACACAGCCCTTCGGTACAAGGTCCCCGGAAACTTCATTTTACTGATGCGCCAGTATTGCAGTATTACAATGCTGTAACCAGCACAGCATCTCAAGTTCCAACTAAAACACATCAAGAAATTAACTGCTTCCATCAAGCTGCCCATGGGAGAGGAGGTCTGCTATATATTGCTGATAAAAGGTGGATGCAGATATAAGGCAAAACGACGTTAGGATAATAAACAGGGACATAAGTAATTTTTCCAGATAAAATACAAACCTAGTATAGGACACACCAAATGAAAGACAAGAGGGAAACGACTTACAGCATGGTAGACATATGGTGGTTTGCCTTGCCGGTCAAAACGCTTTGTCATGATGGAGAATTCTACTGGGCCCCAGTCATCTATTTCGAAACAATTGCCTAAGGCTGCCTTGTAAAGCTGTGAACCAGAAGATGAAGTAAAAATTACCGCCCCAGCAGCAATTGATTGTTATTTGTTACAGGAGAGGAATCTCCCTGACAGATAAATACTTTACATACTGTTGGGACGAGTATGCATACCCATACCTTTGCAGTGTCAGTCAGTGTAACTCAGTACCAACAGGGTAGGAATACCGGTCAGCTCTTGAAATCCCAGCCCCTGTCCTACAATAAGCTCAAAGAGGCAATACTGTCAGGAAAGAACAAGGAGTGTGAAGATTCAGAAGTGACATACGTGTTGCTTGTGTAGGCATAGGTAACAAGAGCACTGAAGCAGTAGAATCCAGCATAGGATGCGATACGTCTGAAACTTCTGGATCTTTAGGATCTCCTTACACTGATGAAAGATTTCCATGTCACAGCAGCTTGATGCTGGTGTTTGGAGGAAAAAGAATGAAGAAATGTCAGTTGACTGACAAAAATCAACATAACTGTCAGCTGATAAAAATACGCCGTCTGCAGCAGCCAGAAAATGATTCAGCTTATTAAAGAGTTCATTATCTGCTCTTCTGAAGACCACCAATCTGTCACGACCGCTCTAAGCGCCATGGGCCCTGTTGGGCGTCCGCAACAGGGACGACAAGTGGCTGAGTCGGCGATATTCAGTTAGTTGTGGTGGTTAGACTCTTGCCTTCTTAATGGGGTTTAGCGTTAGGCGTTGGGCCATTACGGCGGTTGTAGCATGCGTATCCAGCTGTGTCCGGGCGGGCATATAAGCCCGTGTAATCGATTGGCAAAGGGGGAATAGAACCTGAACTCTGAACATCTGCCTTCCAATTGCTTGCTTCAATCCTTCCGTTAAATCGACCCCAATCCTCGTTTCTTGCTGCAACCCAGCCTAAATTCCGATTTCGTCTAGTTATCCGTTGCAATCCTCGCCGGGTTGTAACAATTGGTATCAAAGCCGCCGTAATCGATTCACCTTGATCGCGTTTTGTAATTCCCGTCGGCAAGTTACGTTGTTCGTCATCTCGGTGATTGAGCAGCGCGTATCCTTAAGTTCGAGCCGAGGTCGAATGGGTCGGTGATCGAGCACGCAGCGGTTTGCGACGCGTAGGCGCCGATCTTCCGCAAAGTCCGGCGTCGAGCGTGGTCCGAACAAGTTCCAAAGAAGAGATGGCGAAATCGCTTGAGAACTACCGACCCGATTCGAGGTGATGATGAAGCGATTCATGGGATTTCGAATATGATGCGAGAACTCTCTCGGATTCGCTCAACGCCATGGGTGCGTGGCAAGTTTCCGCGAACAAGGCGTTCACTGATTTGCGTGAGCGGGCTGACGGTGCAACTACATCCTTGGTCGACGTCTCGAAGCGGGTTGATCTCGCTGCGTCGCGCATGGATTCCTTGGAGACGCGGTTTGCGATGGCTCCCGCGGCCGCTCCGATTCAGCATGGTACGCGCGTCGTGGACCTCAACCTAGCTCCGGGTTTGTCCTCAAGCTCTCTAGCTAAGGACGGGGAGCAGCCCATGGGCCCCGGCGAACATTGCGGCGGTGTCCTAGGACCTCGGCCATAGGACATCAACAAGGGTACATTCCCATGTCTGAATCATCCCTCTGTCGTTTCACATGATGATGTTATTCCTGCCAGTTGTCGTTTGCCACCATTTCCTAAAATGGAATTTCCAAAGTTTGATGGTGATTCTCCTCGGTTTTGGCGTGACCAATGTGAGGTTTTCTTCGAGGTTTATGCGGTGCACCCATCTCTGAAGACCAGATTTGCAACGCTCAACTTCAAAGCGGTGGCAGCAATGTGGTTGCAGACGGTGCAGAGAAAGGGGCAGATTACTGAATGGAGTCATCTGTGTGAATTGGTGATGGAGAAGTTCGATAAGAATCAGTATCAAATTTTGCTGAAGAAGTTTGAGTCTCTCAAGCAGAAGGATTCGGTTGTGGAATATCAAACTGCCTTTGAAGAAATTGCCCAGGGATTGTTGCTGTATAATAGTGGGTATGATGATACTTATTTCGTGACCCTATTTCTTACTGGCTTGAAGGAGAAAATTCGATCTATGATAGCTTTGCACCGACCGATGGATGTTGATACTGCTAGTGCATTGGCACTCATTTAGGAAGAAGAACTCGCTCAGTGCAAACCTCGTGCAGCAGCAAAAGAGTTCGGCAAGGGTGCTTGGAAACCTAGGGTAGAGAAGACCAAGACTGGTGAAGTTGACAAAGGCAAGCACCTGAACCCAAGACCAGAGGCTGAGGACAAGCTGTCTGCTCTGAAGGAGTTTAGGAAGAAAAATGGGATGTGTTTCAAGTATGGCAAACAAATGGGCCCCAGGTCATAAGTGCCCTCAGCAGGTAACTCTGCATGTTATAGAGGAGATTCTTGATGCACTAGAGACAGAAGGTGACCCACCAGAGGATGAGCCAGTGGAGACGGTGGAAGAAACTGTGTTAGCAGTGGGGCATTCAGATACTGCTACTGTCAGACGCAAGACATTGAAATTATGTGGAACTATTGGCAAACTGGATGTGTTGATTCTTGTGGATTCTGGCATTGTGGGCACATTCACCAGCTCTCAGTTGGCAGAAAGGTTGCAGGTGCCTCTCAGTGAGTGTCCTCCTACTCATTATATGACTGTTGATGGAAGCCCAATGATATGCTCTCATCAGGTAAAAAATTTGCAATGGAATGTTTAGGGTCATTCCTTCATTTCCATTGTGGGGTGCTTCCACTGAAATATTTTGACATGATCCTTGGGGAGGATTGGCTTGAGTCTTGTAGCCCTATGTGGATCCACTGTGCAAACAAGATCATGAAATTCACTTATCAGGGTAGAAGGATAACTCTACAAGGTCAATAGCAAGGTGTCAATCATTGTTCACCTATTTCTGTGGCAAGTTTGTATGGGTTGGTCCACCAATAGAATGTCACCTGCTGTGTTCAGATGAAGATTATTGAGGATAATCATAACTCAGGACAAAGAAAAAATGAGTTGCATGTTGTAACTGATGATGTAGATGTTCCCCAGGATCTGAAGGATATGCTGGTTGTATACTCTGAACTGTTTCAGGCTGCATCTGTTTTGCCTCATAGAAGGCAGTATGATCATCAGATTCAGCTATTGCCTGGAGCCACACCAGTGAACATTAGACTCTATAAGTATTCTCCAGCTCAAAAGGATGAGATAGAGAAGCCATTGGCTGACATGTTGCAACATGGCATTATCAAGACCAGTGTGAGTCCATATGCTTCACCTGTGTTGCTAGTGAGGAAGAAGGACATCATATGCCTCTTGTTGATGAACTCATTGATGAATTAGCAGGGGCTCAGTGGTTTTTCAAATTGGATTTGAGAGCTAGATATCACCAGATTTTCATCAAACCTAAAGATACACATAAAACTGCTTTCAAGACACATAGTGGTCTATATGAATTCTTGGTTATGCCCTTTGGGCTCACTAATGCCCCTGCCACCTTCCAAAGTATCGTGAACATCATATTTGTCTCATTACT